AAAATGACAAGCCACTGGGTGTAGCTCTTGACCACATCAGCACACGGTTCTATGACACACTTTCACACGTTCCGCATCAAGAATTTCTTTCAAATAGAAAACCGAACTGCAGTGTCACCAAACAAAACGTTTAACGCATGTGCCACTGCCACGCACTCACGATAAGCCAGCGAGAAGTATAGTCTGTTGGAACAAATGCAGCGAAAGAAGATGGCGGCTATGACGTCATAATAACTTGTTTTATTAACTGCAGCATGGTGACGTGAGAGAAGTACGGGGGTATCCAACAGGCCCCTTTAGATGGTGTCAATACCTTCAAAATTGCTGTAAAATACCTGCCAAGCTATATTCACTGTTGATATTATGTGGATGATATACGCATGTTCACGGGAACCGATCCCACAGGCCGTTTCAGCCACAAAATTTCATGTCAGTTGGCCTTTTACGACTCCGAGGAGTCCTACCTAAATATAAATATAAACCTAAATAAATATCTACCTAAATATAAGTACACCAAGATCATTTCTTCAAAATACAGCCATTCCTGCTGGGGTCACACCGAACACCTTGACTGTGGCTACTAAGTAACCGCAATTGTTCTTTTTAGTGTCTGCAAAATAGCTGCAATCCACACAAATAGCCGTATTGAGGCTCTGCCCTAGAGGGAAAGCAACTTAACTACATTAAGCGATATCATCTTGGATAACAAAGTATGTTTAATTGGATGGAACGTGAGCCTTCATCGTGTGGTTGTGATCTCAAACACTTCAACAAGAAGTTTTCAAGGTATAACATGGGAGTGACACAATGTGCAAAAGCCTCCCCTTTGTCATCATGGCACATGAGTGAAATGAGGGCAGCGTGCTGGGACCGCTGTTGTTTCTTCTTTATATAAATGATTTAGCCCACGTAGTTCCCGAAACTGTCTCCATCAGGCTGTTTGCCGATGATTGTGTTGTTTTTAGAGAAATTCGCTCACCTGATGACTGTGAAGTTTTGCAGGAATCCCTGGTTGCAATAGAGAGTTGGTGTGAGCAGTGGGGAATGATGTTGAATGCCGGAAAATGTGCATTTCTACGAATAACTCGCAAAAAACATTTCTTCAACTCCCAGTACTTCTTGCAGAGCACTTGTATTGCAGATGTTGGGGAGTACAAGTACTTGGGCCTCACTTTGAACTCTAATTTATCTTGGTCATCCCACGTAAAACGTATTTGTTCTGCTGCATTTACCAAGTTGTGTTTTTTGAGACGAAAATTAAGACATTCTCCAAGTCACATTAAGCTTTTAGCCTATGAAACTTTTGTTAGAGCTAAACTTGAATATGCTTCCGTGATATGGGATCCGCACTTGAAAAAAAAAAAGATATCTACATGCTTGAGCTCGTTCAGAGAAAAGCGGTGCGTTTTATTTTTAACAAATATGGGCGTTACAATTCTCCGTCGAAGCTCATGACTGATAATGGCATTCAAACCCTAGCAGTTCGTAGACGCTTGGCCCGTTTACTCTTCCTCAACAATATTGCTACTTCTAAGGTGAAAATAACTTCGCCAACTATGATTAAACCGCTAAGCACAAGAAGGACCCGTCACATGCATGCTCATTCCTTTCAGCCTATCTTCGCCAAAACTAATCAGTTTAAGCACAGCTTCTTCCCACCTACAATTTCCGAATGGAATGCGCTCCCGGAAGCAGTGATACAAGCCAAAAATTTTTCCCAAGCGCTCCAGGAAAGCATCTGTCGCTAAGTATAAGCATTGTATGGTGTGCTATGCCTTGACCAATCTGCATTGTACTCCTTTTTATTGTTATTATTTTTATTCTTTGTATGTATGTGTAACAGTGTTATGTGTATTGCCAATTGCCCCTCCTGCTTGGGCCACAAACTGGCCTGTAGTATTCGCAATAAATAAATAAATAAATAAACAATAAATAAACATGAGTGAAATGAAACTAAGATTTGTGCTAAACATATGCACTTTAGGGATACACGAGTACTTTTTAACATGTACAAGTAAATGAGCGACACATGTACAGCAGAAAATGAGGAACAATAGATATATTTAACACTGTTCTTAGATTGTAGTAATTTATTTTGTAACTAGCTACTTCTATAAAACATGCCTAGTCACTGTTCAAGTTACTATTCAAACTGACAGTTACTATTGATGTACTTTTGAGAAGTTACTATTTGAGAAAAAAAAAAGATCGCTTTGAACATTAAAAGCAATAACAAAAATCTATTTGTATTCAGCATTCCTTTACACATATCTAATGTTTACTTCTGCTTTCTGTAAACCGAGTCTGTTTCAATATATACAAAAAAAGAAAAAGTTTGCAAGTTCACATTATCACCAAACATTCTGTAAAACTGGAAAGGATAGTGCCCCCAAATTAGCAGCTTGAGCATTGTTTGCTGCAAGCATTTCTTATAGCTCCAGGAAGCACGATGTGTGCACTAAAATTCTTTATTCTCGCTAAATAATTTAATTGATAGATTTGATTGATATGTGGGGTTTAACGTCCCGAAACCACCATATGATTATGAGATACGCCGTAGTGGAGGGCTCCTGAAATTTCGACCACCTGGGGTTCTTTAACATGCACCCAAATCTGAGCACACGGGCTTACAACATTTCCGCCTCCATCGGAAATGCAGCCGCCACAGCCGGAATTCGATTCCGCGACCTGCGGGTCAGCAGCCGAGTACCTTAGCTACTAGACCACCACGGCGGGGCACGCTAAATAATTTAATATAGCAATGTGTAGACAAAATTTGGTTTGAGTTTCTGGGTGCTGAGTTGCCCAGTAACTTAGCAATGTAGATGGCTTGGTCATGCGACCACAAGGTCGATGCACGTTCGTGTGAAGAGGCGCAGGTCTTAGCCAGGAAGCGATCGAAACTCTGCAAATAATGCAGCAACCAATGCTTTGCCGATACATACGTTGTGGAGGTGGCGGCAGCCCAGAGGTCACTCACTTCACAAAAGATCTGGTGTGTAGTCATTTTAACTTTCGTTGCCCTTCCTATAGACTTGCGCCGGTGTTAGACGCGGTAGCGATGGGTCGCAATCCAGAGAATGTGCATTAGGTACACTTTGTAAGAGAATTAAAATATATTCTAAACATTTTCCCAGTTTGACCCTTTGTGTCGAGTGTTCTTGCATAAAGAGGAAATCCATAACATGCTTCTTACAGCCTCAAAATTTGAGGGTACCACCCCTTTATACATATAAACTTGAAAGGAAATTCAGGAAAGCTGACAGATATGCCATCGTATTTTCTGCTCTATTGCAAAGTTCAGATGTATGCTTAGAAAACGTAGCGTGCGAATAAAGTGGTAATATCATTAGTAGCTAGTTTATCTAACCAATGAATTAATGTAATATTGAAGTTGCTCCCAAAATAACATTTTGATACCCTTTTTTACACGAATATACTCTACACAGCCAGAAGTAGTGAAGATGCTCGAACTTTTAATCAGAGTTGAATGCTTTTGATTCAGACAACACACTGATGATTCAGAGTCGATACAACTACAAAACAAGGCACAAAACACGACTATTTAGAAAAGAATGCTATGCAATATCAACTGAATAGAGGAGATGGCAAAGGCGACGACAGTCGCCACTGCTCCATGCTTCACACAAGCAGCTTGACAAGGCGAGCTGCGTCAAACAACAATGGCATTGTCTGTATTTGGTTAAGCCCTCAACATTCAGCCTTCCTAGGGTTCCTCTGACGCGCTCGCGAAAATATCTCCACGCCTCCCACGTTAGTAATCGGAACTCGGACGTGCGAAACCCAAAACCGTGGGCTTCCGGAGTTTTTAACGCGCAGCTGAATGGGGAGCTGGCGCGCGCGTTTTCGCAATGCAGCAGCCGTGGTTCGATCCCACGACCTTGCTGAAGCTCCTCAGCCGCGCACACATGCACCTGATTGGAGGCGCATTGGCGTTCGTGATGTAAATTCGCCGTTTCAAGGCGTCACGAGAAGGGTACCACACGTCTGATTACCACAGTTCATGCAGAGGAATGATGCATTTTGTTTACGCGAAGTACCCTACGAACGCGACTTGTGACAAAGTGACGACTGCACTGGCGTTCGAACCCCTTTTCAGAAATATTTACAGGCATCGAATTCCTGTTACCGAATAAACAGGTCGCCGCAGTCGAACGCGCTCCCTAGACGCTTTTCAATTGTTTATGACCACAGCTAACACCCACGTTATCCACCTCGCATACAAAAGCGTAAGGACCGAGCCTCGCATATACAGTGAAACAAGGGACACGGCGTGCCCACACGCTCCGCCTCGCAGTGAAAAAGAGAAGGAGAAAAAAAAAATGGAACCGCTGCCAAGCACTGATGACAAGCGCACACTTCCCCCGACGGTGTTCGAAGGGTAGGGCGCGTGCACCGACAATCCGCACAAGCCGTAACACGGAGCTTTTGATCGTCGAAATTCAGCTCGCAAAATGCGATCGGAGAAGTTCGGAAATCGCGTAGAGACGCTTTCCGTGCAAGCACCCACTCCGATCGAGCAAATGTCAAAAACGGGCATATCGCCAGCGCCGGACAAAGCAGCCAGTGACCTCACCGCAGCCGCCCGGTAAATAGTTTCGCGCGCGTTACGAGTCGCGGGTATTGCAATAAATTGCTACGTTGAAGCCGTTTTCGACTCGAAGCGCACGCCACGAAAGAAAATTCCGCTTTCGAAGCCGTTCCTGGCGTGGGCAGGGCATTGCACGAGACTCTCCCATCTCCGGCATTAGTCAACCGACGCGTACACTTGAAAAACGAGCTACCATCCGGTGCTGCGGAGGTTCGCGGAAAGGCACGCGCCGCCCGGCGCCAACACTGCACGGGTGATCTAGTGATTTGTCGCCGAACGAGAAGCGCAACAATCGCGACCGGGCCGAAGAGGCAAGGTGGCATATAGGCCTAACGTCCAAACAGGGGGGACTCGACCACTTTTGGGAGGGCACCAAAACGTCGCTCACCGTCATATCGTTCGGCTTGTTCCGCTAGCTTGGCCTTGTACACGTTGTCTTCTCTTTCGGCCATGGCGAACTAGGAAGAAGAGGAGCGGACCAAATTGTGTGCGGGCTTGGAATAACTTGGAACGCTCGTCAAATGCACCCACTCGGAGCAAAAAAAAAAGGGTCTGCTCCACCTCCCGGTATCACCAGGCCTAACAACACTTTGCCGCCACGAACGACAAGTTACTCCGCGCCGCCGCTGCACGCACGCACGCACCACAGTTCTTCAATCGTGTGAGCTGCGAAACTCCCCACGGATTTCATGCATCAACATTCACACTCGCTATTGCTCAAAAATTTAGAACTTACTGATTGCCGCGCCATCTGTTAGTCAAAAAATAAACTAACAAACGTTATATTCTGTTTTTTTTACGTTGGGTGAATGTAAAAATTGTCAGAAATGGCGAAACAACAAAACATTGCTTAAAACAAAGGCGTGAGTGTGTTTTGTATTGCTGCTCCTAGAGAGCGCTACAATCTGCAAGTTTTATCCTGAGGTGATCATGAGCGTGATTGTGTATTGGAACGTAGTGTCGCATCTAGTAAACTTGAAGAACTCTGCGCACGCACTGCGCCGCAAAGCAAGCCGGTCCGCCGCTGCTTGTCTCCGGCAGCGGCAATGCATCTGCGCGCGCGCCGTGAAAATAGTTCCCGACCCAACCCCCCTTTTCGCGCGGCTTGTCAGGAACCAAATCAAGACATATGTGAGCCCGGAGATTCGAAAAAGGACCGTCAATACGGGATCACCAAGTTCAGGGACGCGAGGAATTTCTCACCGAAGCCGTCTCTTCGTCCCTATTTTATTTTTTATCCTTTAACGTTCCTTCTCTCCTTCCTAGCGCTGGCCGGCCGGCGTTGGCCAAAGGCAACGCTTCCCTCGGAAGGGTCGATCGGTAGCTAGCGCGCTTATTCCGTGCTTCTTCGAATTGGTTTTTCAGCGGCACTCCCGTTATTCCCGACGCCAGGAAACGTGTCCCTTTCTATTTTTTTTTTTATTTCTCGCGCGGGGCTTGCACGTTTTGACTACTGAAATGCGCGGCGCATTAACGCCGTGCATGCGAATGAAGCAATTTTCACAACGCCTCAGCTCGATAAGTTCAGCGTTGTTATCGACATGGTACCCCCGAGGGTTGCAAATACGTAGCCCTATGTGGGCTGCACAGTATGATACAAACATACAAACACGCGTTTTTACGTTTTCTTTTTCGCTTCCCATCGAACGAAGTTGCTCCAACGTTTTTCATATATGCGAGAACGTCGTTAAGTCGCGGGTATCCATCCTTTTATCAGCCTGGCTAAAGTCTTGTCCTCTGGGAAGAGTGCAGGTTCAAAACACTTTGCACCTGAATATATATATATATATATATATATATATATATATATATATATATATATATATATATTGTAATGAATTAATGAATCTGAATAACGGACGCTCTGCTGGCAATGAAGAAGACGACGATGATCGGTGGCTGCAGTAGTAGCTCGCGCACGCCGCTCGCCATTAGCTAGACCTGCCTGATAAAGCATATTTTGCCAAGCTGCGTCTGAACCTTTTTCGACGTACAACATCTCTATTTTAAGTGGTGGAGGTGCCGGGGTTCCCATCAACCTGGAACTTCGCAATCGGACGCTACCCTCACCGTTCACCATGACTGCTCCTGGCCCTTCTCAAGCTGCCTTACCAACGACAGTCTACTGTACTGGCGTACCTCGGCAACGCGACCCACCAATTTTTCGCGGCAACAACGAACAAGACGTCGAGGACTGGCTCGTCGAGTATGAAATCGTAAGTGCTTCCAACAAGTGGAACGCCTGCGACCAGCTCACAAACGTGCGCTTTTACCTCGCTGATGTGGCCAGCCTCTGGTTCAAGAACCACGAAGGCGAAATCACCAACTGGTCCGCCTTCAAGACCACCATCGCCGCGGTCTTCGGTCGTCCCGCAGTGCGCCGGCTTCGCGCGGAACAGCGTCTCCGTAGTCGAGTTCAGCGCAGAGATGAGACGTTTACAAGTTACATTGAAGATGTCTTGTCTCTTTGCAAGCGCGTTGATGAATCTCTAACCGAACGCGACAAAATCAAGCACATCATGAAAGGAGTTGACGACGATACCTTCCAGATGCTCGTCGCTAGGAATCCGCAGACCGTCACCGATGTTGTCCAGCTCTGTCAGGAGTACGACGAGTTGCGTAAGCAGCGTGTCTCGACGCGCAGGGCCGCTGAAGATACGGCCGAAGTTTCCGCCCTCGTGCACGACGTCGCTGCTGATCACACCGTCTTACTGCCCCACATAAAACAATTCATTCGTGAAGAAGTTGCGCGTCAGCTTTCTCTTGTGGCCGAAGCATCCGCGCCAGTGACCTCGTTAGACCCACGTTTACGCCAGGTCATTGAGACACAGGTCACGCAGGCACTGCCTCCATCGCCACCCGTCCCTACGCCGTTGACCTACGCTGCCGTCGCTGCTAGACCCCCAGTCCCACCTGTCTCTGGCGCATACCGGGGCACCAGGTCCTCCAACCCTACGACGCTGCCTACATACACGGCACCCCATCCCGTTTCGCCACCTGCACCTTCTGTCGTTAACCCATGGCGCACCTTGGATAATCGACCCATCTGTTTCGCATGCGGTTTCGTGGGACATATAGCACGCTACTGTCGCCGTCGCAACTTCCAGCCTCCAGACCATGGGAATTCTGCAAATTACCAAGCTGCCCAGAATCCCCAGCGACCATCTTCTCCTATCACCGACTCATTGTCCCCACGACGCCCTGTCGATTCTCGCCGGTCATTACCACCCCGTCGCCGATCTGTCTCCCCGATGCTTCGGCGCACGAGCCCCGCTCGAGAGGAAAACTGACAGCCGCAGTTCCGGAGGCAAGAACTGCGTCGTCATCGAACTTTCTAAGACCTCCTCTTTGTCCGACCAACGAAATTGATGTGCTAGTAGAAGGTGTTGCTGTACGTGCACTTGTCGACACAGGCGCCGTCGTTTCTGTAATTAGTGAAAAACTGTGTCGCGATTTGAGGAAAGTTACAGCGCCGCTTACGAATCTTGCTCTGCGTACAGCCACCTCCCATTTCATCGCGCCGACAGCTCAGTGCACAGCACGCGTTCTTATTCAAGATGTTTGGTACGCCGTCAACTTTGTTGTTCTCCCACGTTCATCTTACGACGTCATACTAGGATGGGATTTCCTTTCTATCCATCAGGCCCTCGTCGATTGCGCTCGTGCTGAACTCACGTTGACGAATCCGTGGCTTGATATCGACCACCAAAGTCCCTCGAAAGTGTTTGCCGCAGCTGACGTCCGCATCGCGCCGTTGTCCGCCGTCCTAGTGCCTGTGTTTTCCCCTGCTGCCACTAACTCGACGCTCCTATTCCAACCAACTATAGCTAGTGTGCAACACCGAACCATCATCCTCCCGTTTGCCGTCATCAACTTTTCCAATGGTTCGGCGGTACTTTATGCGTGCAACGTTTCTGCTTGCCCATACATCCTGCTACGCGGCGAGTGTCTGGGGAGCCTCGAGACCTTAAATTGTATTTTCGAAGACCCGATCTATCCAGACAAGCCATTTTTACCGACTTGTGCCATTACACGCGCAGCTGACGCTAATGAGCCTATGGATGTATTCCGCAAGTCCATTGATTGCAACCTCACGCCTGGGCAGCAGGAACAGCTGATCAAGCTCCTACAGCGTTTTCGGGCCTCGTTTGACCACAATCAGCCTTCCTTAGGTCGAGCGTCATCTGTTGTTCATCGTATAGATACCGGTCAAGAGACGCCATTACGGCAGCGTCCATATCGTGTGTCAACTACCGAACGCTGTGCCATTAATGAGCAGGTTGACGACATGCTGACACGTGGCATAATCGAACCGTCAAGCAGTCCCTGGGCCTCTCCAGTTGTGTTGGTGAAGAAGAAAGACGGATCCATCAGGTTTTGCGTGGACTACCGACGTCTCAACCGAATCACGCGCAAGGATGTCTATCCGCTGCCACGCATTGACGATGCCTTGGACTGCCTACAGGGAGCCGAATTTTTCTCTTCTTTAGATCTGCGCTCTGGATACTGGCAGGTACCCATGGCAGAGGCCGATCGCGAGAAAACAGCTTTCATCACGCCCGACGGGCTTTACGAATTCACGGTCATGCCCTTCGGCCTCTGCAACGCGCCGGCTACTTTCGAGCGAATGATGGGCTCTATCCTTCGAGGCCTCAAATGGAACGTTTGCCTTTGTTATTTAGATGACATTGTCGTCTTTTCAACTGATTTCGCAACCCATTTGACCCGCCTCGAGAAAGTCCTCGCGTGTATTTCTGCCGCGGGGCTGCAACTGAATCTGAAGAAGTGCCATTTCGCCGCTCGAAAGCTTACGATCCTTGGCCACGTGGTTTCAAAAGACGGCATTCATCCTGACCCTGCCAAACTTACAGCCGTTTCAGCGTTTCCCAAACCGACCACCATGAAAGAGCTCCGAAGCTTCATAGGCCTGTGCTCTTACTTCCGGCGCTTCGTTCGCAATTTCGCGACGATCATCGCTCCTTTGACCAAGCTCCTCGCCGGCTCTAGAGACCTTTCAGTCTGGTCTGCTACCTGTGACGATTTTTTCAATGAACTGTGCCGCCTCTTCACGTCGCCGCCTATTCTGCGACACTACGACCCATCGGCACCCACAGAGATCCACACCGACGCTAGTGGTGTCGGGCTAGGCGCTATTCTTGCACAGAAGAAAGACGGCTTCCAAGAGTACGTCGTTGCCTACGCAAGCCGAACTCTTAGCAAAGCCGAAATCAACTATTCCGTCACTGAAAAGGAATGCCTGGCCATTATTTGGGCGATAGAGAAATTTAGACCTTACTTGTACGGACGCCCTTTTGACGTCGTGACTGACCACCACGCCCTCTGCTGGTTGTCGTCACTGAAGGATCCAAGCGGTCGCCTCGCCCGATGGGCATTACGCCTCCAAGAATATAATATTCGCGTGGTCTATCGCTCCGGCCGGAAACATTCGGACGCAGACGCCCTATCCCGTTCGCCCCTACCCCCTGACCCGGACTGCTGCGAAAGGCTAACCTGTGATGCCACTGCCGTCACCATCGCCGACATGCCATCTGAGCAACGCAAGGACCCATGGGTTGCTTCGATTCTAGACATCCTGGCTGGGCGG